GGGACGTGGAGGGCAAACGCCGCGCTGCCTTCCATCGCAAACCGCAAAATGCCACCCCTTTTTTCCTTCCCGTTCCCTTCGTGTCGCGTCGTGTGGCGTGGTGGGACCGCAGATGGCACAGGCGCGGTTTAGTTTCTTAGGATATCGTGAGAGGTGGGGTTTCCTGTTCAAGAATAATGTAAAAAAAAAAGAAAAAATCCCCAAAAAATAGAAAGCCGGCAGCTATTAGTAGTTTACGAGGTTCAAAAAAATTTTTTTTTCTACCGTTTAGGTGTGGAGGGAATGATCTTAGAAAAAAAAAGGAATTTTTTTGGAAAATTATCGGAAGGCAATTCGGGGATTTTTATGTTTGTTAAAAGTCACTAGAACCCTCTTGTCACCTTTGAATCCTATATTCTTTTTTTTTGAAAAAATTACCGCGAAAAGATCGATGCGTGCTATTTTGTCGGTTAGGCGTAATCCGATGTATTTGAATTGCTTTTCAAAAAAAAAAATCACTAGTCGAGATATATGAGTAATCAGAGAGCGTTAGTTTCCGGAATTTAACGCAATCGGCTTTACTCACTTTTTTGAAAAAAGACAAAATTTTTTTAATGAAAACGTACTCTAATCATAAACAAAACTCAAAAAAAATGAAGATCCTAGAGAGAATGTTCAAGTGAAAAAGATCGCTTTTTTATCCTTTTTTTTTTAATTTATGAAGGAATTAAGAGGGACAATAATAGGTAATACTTTTAAAGGAATGTATCGAATGATCGGAGTTTTATACACCCATATATATCCATTTTTAGAGTTGTATCCAATACCAAACTAGAAAACGGTTGCCCCCCATAATCAATAAATAGAGCAGATCAAAGATGACCTCATTTTACACAACTTCGAAATGGTCGGTGCGCTATGCGAATTGAGCACTTTTTTAACATTGTTCAGGGTCTGGGAATGATTATTAATAACAAAAAAAAAATGTGAAAGCTCTCGTGATAGTTATTACAAGAGGAATAGATTAAAACATGATAAACCAATTTTTAGGAAGAGGGAAAGGATGGTTGTACGAGTTGGCTGTCCGCCACATGTCTATCAAATAGGATTGCAAGCGCTCGATCACGTTTGATCCCTTTCAATGGCAGGCGCCGTGTCCTCACGAATAAAAAAAGAAGAGACGTCCGAGGTGGAGGTTTGGGGTGGAGGTCATTGGGGTTTCTAGCGTTTATCGCCCCTCTCGCGCCCCGCCTTCGATTCGGGAGGTCGCCTCCGGTGCGCCCGACGGCTGAAATGGCGGCGCCGTCATCGGCAGCCGACGGCCCACGAGGGGATGGCAACCCCCCACGGGAAGGCCGACGCCGCCAGGCGACGAACCCCCCCGGAGAAAAGTCCCTTCGCCCGCCCATCGCGTTGGATCCGCGCCTTTCACGTTGGCCGCGTCGGGGGCCCATCGCGCTGGGCGCGCGGCGCCGTCCAGGCCCGCCGTCGGGGGCGTTTCCCCCCGGCCCAACGCGCGGCGGGTCTCCACGTCGTTGTTGTTGTTGTTGTTGTTGTTGTTGTTGTCCTGCGTGGGCTCCCACGGCCCCGCGAACCACGGCGCCGGCTCCAGGCAGGCCTCGCAGAAGGGCTGGTAGTAATTCACGCGGCCGCAGCCCCCGCACTCCCACCCCTGCGGGGCCT